AATATTGGCCTCCCTTGCTAGTTTGGGGAAGTTCTCCTGCATAATATCCTGAAGAGTGTTTTCCAGCTTGGATTCATTCTCTCTGTCACATTCAGGTACACCTATCAAACGTAGATTAGGTCTTTTCACATAATCCCATATTTCTCGGAGGCTTTGTTCATTTCTTTTCACTCTTTTTTCTCTAATCTTGCCTTCTTGTTTTATTGCATTGAGTTGATTTTCAACCTCTGATATCCTTTCTTCTGCTTGGTGGATTCGGCTATTAAAACTTGTGTATGCTTCATAAAGTTCTCATGCTGTGTTTTTCAGCTCCATTAGTTATTTATATTATTCTCTAAGCTCTTTATTCTTGTTAGCATTTCATCAAACCTTTTTTCAAGGTTCTTAGTTTCTTTGCATTGGGTTAGAACACGTTCTTTTAGCTCAGAGAAGTTTGTTATTACCCACCTTCTGAAGTCTGTTTCTGTCAATTCATCAGACCCATTCTCCAGCCAGCTTTGTTCCTTTGCTGGTGATGGGTTGTGATCCCTTGGAGGAGGAGAGGCATTCTGGTTTTGGGTGTTTTCATCCTTATTGTTCTGGTTTCTTCCCATCTTTGTGGATTTATCTACCTGTGGGCTTTCTCGTTGGTGACTTTCAGATGGGGTCTCTGAGTGGACATCCTTTTTATTGATGATGAAGTTATTTTTTTCTGTTTTTTAGTTTTCCAACAGTCAAGCCCCTCTGCTGTAGGACTGCTGGAGGTCCACTCCAGACCCTACTTGCCTGGGGGTCACCTGTGGTGGCTGCAGAACAGTAAGGGTTGCTGTCAGTTTCTTCTGTTGTCTTTGTCCCAGAAGGATACCCGCCAGAAGTCAGCTTGAACTCTACTTTATGAGATGACTCTTTGGATCTACAGGGGTCAGGGAGCGGCTTGAGGAGTCAGTCTGTCCCTTATAGGAGCTCAAGTGCTGAGCTGTTCTGTCCAGAGCTGCTGGTCAGATACGTTTAAGTCTGATGCAGTGGAACTCATAACCGCCTTCTTCCCCAGGTGCTCTGTCCTGGGAAGATGGGGCTTTATTTATAAGTTCCTGATGTGCTGCTGCCTTTTTTCAGAGCTGCCCTGCCCAGCAAGGGGTAGCCTAGTCACAGTCTGCCAGCAGAGGCATTGCTGAGCTGTCGTGGGCTCTGCCCAGCTGCTGTGTGAACTTCCTTGCAGTTTTGTTTATAGAGGTATAGTTAAAATTGCCTCGGTAATGGAGGTCTGCCTCAGTAATGGTGGACTGCCTCTGTAATGGCAGACTGCCTCTGTAATGGCAGAGTGGCGCGGTAATGGCAGATTGCCTTGGTAGTGGCAGACTGCCTCAGCAGTGGCAGACTGCCACAGTAATGGCGGATGCCCTTACCCCAACAGAGCTGGACCATCCCATGTTCAGCTGCACTTCCTGTGAAGTGCACTCTCTATCCAGAGCATTTTAGATTGCTGGTCTTTGTGGGGGTAGGACTCACCAAGCCAGGGCACCTGGATCCCTGTTTCAGCCCCCTTTTTTTCAGTTGAACAGGTGACTTTGTCTCCCAGGTGTTCTTTTTTTTTTGAGATGGAGTTTTGCTCTTGTTACCCAGGCTGGAGTGCAATGGTGCAATCTCGGCTCACCGCAACCTCTGTCTCCTGGGCTCCGGCAATTCTCCTGCCTCAGCCTCCTGAGTAGCTGGGATTACAAGCACATGCCACCATGCCCAGCTAATTTTTTTTTTGTATTTTTAGTTGAGACGGGTTTCACCATGTTGACCAGGATGGTCTCGATCTGTTGACCTTGTGATCCACCCACCTCGGCCTCCCAAAGTACTGGGATTATAGGCTTGAGCCACTGCGCCCAGCCTGTCTTCCAGGTGTTCTAGGTGCCAGTTGAAATGGCTGCCCAGATTTGTGTGAGTTTTTGTGTGGAGACCCACTGCGCCACCTGAAACAGCTGTGCTGAAAACTCGTGGCGCTTTTTGGCCTGGGAATCTCCTGATCTGTGGGCAGTAATAACTTGTTTGGAAATGCAGTGTTCACTCACCCTCTAGGTTGTTCTCACTGGGAACTGCACTCCCGTGCTGTTCCTATTCAGCCATCTTGGATCCGCCTCCAAACTATATCTGTTTATTTTTTTAGATGGAGTCTTGCTCTATTGCCAAGTTGGAGTGCAGTGGTAACATCTCGGCTCATTGCAACCTCCACCATCCAGGTTCAAGCAATTCCCCTGCCTCAGCCTCCCAAGTAGCTGGGATTACACAGGCACCCACTCCCAAGTAGCTGGGACTACATAGGCATTATCATGCTCTGCTAATTTTTTTTTTTTTTTTTTTTTTTTGTATTTTAATAGAGATGGGGTTTCACCATGTTGGCCAGGATGGTCTTGATCTCCTGACTTCGTGGTCTGCCCACCTTGGCCTCCCAAAGTGCTGAGATTACAGGTGTGAGCCACTGCACCCGGCCTTGTCTAGCTTGTTTTCAGAAAAGCATCTCTGCATTTTTGGCAGATGCCTCGTAATGGGAATAAATATATTAGAATGGCCCAACCCATCCTGCTACCTTGAAAAGAGCCATATTTTTGTTATCATAGGAGTTCAGCCTTTCTTCACTCTCCCATAAGCTTCTCCCTTGGTTCCAGCTCCCAGCAGTTTCCATGGCCAGCAGAGTTGTCCCTAGAGTTCACACAAGTCCCCCTTATTTTTGTCTCTTTTCTGAGGTTCCTCAGGAGACAGAGGGCAGCTAATCACTGAGCTTTGGGTGATTCGCTTCTGGCACACATCCAGAACAGAAGAATCCTTCATGGGTGTGACTTCAGTGAAAAAGAAACTTTTCTGTCCACAGACACCTCACATCTTTACCTCTTCCTTCAAGCCTCAAACTTCAAAGTCAGGCAATTTTAGAACTGGAGAGTCTGGGGCTTCCCCATATGCTAACAGTGACATGGTCTTACTAACCCCAGTTTACAGATGAGGAACTGGGGCTCAAAGAGGCTAAACAGCTTGTCTGAGGTCACTGGTTCCAAAACTCTCATTCTTTCCACTGGACCATGCAACTTCTGCTTGTCAACTTTCAAGGCAGAACTATGGTAACTTGTCCATCATAGAATGAGCTATTTCTTTTTAAATAACTTAACTGAGATATAATTCACATGTCATAAATACACCTGTTTAAAGCATACAACACAGTGTTTTTTAATATACTTACCATTGTGTGTACATAATCATGACCACAGGCAATTTTTAAAAATTAATTAATTAATTTATTTAGTTAGTTAGTTAGTTAGTTAGTTAGTTTTTGATGGAGTCTCACTCTTTTGCTCAGGCTGGAGTGCAGTGCTGCAATCTTGGCTCATTGCAACCTCTGCCTCCCAAGTAGCTGGGACTACAGGCACATGCCAGCATGCCTGGCTAATTTTTTTGTATTTTAGTAGAGATGGGGATTTCACCATGTTGGCCAGGTTGGTCTTGATTTCCTGAGTTTGTGATCTGCCTACCTGGGCCTCCCAAAGTTCTGGGATTATAGGTGTGAGCCACCATGCCCGGCCTGACAACAGGCAATTTTAGAACATATTCATCACCTTGAAAAGAAACCCAGTACCCTTTACAGATCACTGTCTACCCAACCTTTCAGTCCTGAAGAACTACTTTCTGTAGATTTCTGAATCTATTTTCTGTATCTATGTATTTGCCTATTCTGGACCTTTCATGTAATGAATTTATAAAACATGGTCTTTTGTGACTGGCTGCTTTCACTTAGCAAAATGATTTCAAGGTTCATAGATGTTGTGGCATGTTGCTTCATTCCCTTTTGTGACCAAATAATATTCCACTGTATGGAAAGTCCACATTTTGTTTATTCATTTATCAGTTGATAGACATTTGAGCTGTTTTCACCTTTTAGCTATTTTGATTTTTTGTAGCCATAAATGTGTTTACTTTGTTACTTTTTATAATGTTAAATGATCTATAGTTAGTAAAATATTAGAAGTTTTATGTCAATAATTCAGCGAATGGAATAAAAATACTGGTTAAAAAAAAAAGGGAAAATGAAAAACAAGTTATTTCTCCCTGGCAAAGTGTGTTGAGGCACTTTTTGGAAGCTGTCGTATTTGGCAAAGTCCTAATATGAGGTCCAGAACACCCAGCTTAGTATGATTATGGCTTCATTTTTTGAGATACCAATAGCTCAACCTACCTGTCTGGTTGCTGTCTACACTGTTCTGAAACCGCCCTCTTACTTGCCACTGTACCAGGCATTTTCTAGTTCTTCACTGTTCAGGCTTCACACTGCTGATTAGTGCCATGTTCTTGATCCTGTCTCTGTTATTTGTTCACGTGGCTCTTCCCGGAGCCCACACGGGCCAGACAGATCCTGCCCTGGGCAATGAGGGGACATACCCTGGGCAGGTGACCATGTCTTTCTTCTGCCCCTCCCTTCCCTTGCACACATGGCTGCCTTCCTGTGCATCCTTTGCGGGATTTCTTCCATCTATCTGCTTCTTTCGGGGAGTTTGCTAGGGCTCCGTTCTCCACCCTCACTCTTCTAGAGCTCCGCCGGGGCCATCTCAGCCTGTATCTTCTGACCATGTGCTCACCTGGACTTCCTGTCCACACCTGTGTGTGTCCAGCTGTGTCTCTGACACCGCCACCTGAGATGCAGGTTAAGGCAGGAATATGAGTTCAGTTACGATGCAGCTCCCGAGAATTCTCCCGGACCCTCCCCTCAGCCATCAGGGCCGCCTGGCCGCCCCTGTAGTCCTGGCTCCCCCTTGGCCCGGCTCACTCCCGGTTATCCTGCAGGGGTCCACCTGGTGCCATTTTCTCCAAGGCCTTCCTAACCTTCTTCTTGCCCCTCTTCCCCCATATGAGGTACAAAGATGTCCTGGTGCCTCTGCCCCACGAACGGAAATCCCTTCTCTGTTTGCCTTCCAACTCCTGACACTGAGGTGCTCGAGAAATGCCTGTAGGGCTCCGGTCCGCACGAAGCGCACAAACCTACAAGGCAGCAGCCTCTAACGGGGAGGCCAGAGAATGCCCAGAGGCCATTTTTTTGTACACGCAGGGGCTGCTCCCGGAATCCGGTCAAATAGACTCCCGGGGCCAGCCGCGGGGGTCAAGCCTTCCCCGCAGTTCTGGAAAGGCTCAGCCTAGGCTCGCCCCGGGCGGCTGCTCCCGGCAGGCCTAGCGCGGTGGGGCGGGGCTGGCGGCACGAGGCCGAGGCAGCGCCGGCGGCACGCACCGGGCGGGAGCCCACCTCTAATGGCGCGGCGCGTTCTGATTGGGAGGCCTCAAGCGGGCGCGGGGCTTCCAGGGTGCATTCCAGCCGTCGTCTCTTCCCGCCGCGGAGACCCAGCGGTTGAGGGGCGCCGGCGTCCGGGAGTGGAAGATGCTGCACAAGCTCACCCTCGAGCAGATCAGTGACTAGTTCACCATCGGCAAGACAGTGACCAATGTGGAGCTGCTGGGCCCGCCGCCCGCCTTCCCGGCCGAGGCGGCCAGGGAGGAGACGCAGAGCCAGATCGTGGCCCCTAGCGCGGGTCCCACGGCCCAGGCTCTGGCCCTGGCCCAAGCTCTGCTCCGGCCTGCCGCGGCGTTCGGAAGGTAGGACCCGGGCGGGGAGGAGGCGACTCGAGGGTGGCCGGGCGAGGCCTGGCGATGAGGTCTCGGGCCACACAGACTCTTCTCGCGAGCCAGTGCCCTCTTGCGGGGCTCCGGGGTCCCCTGACGTCCAGGGGCAAGCGGTCACTACACAACCCGACCCGCGGCCGGGAGCAGTGCCTGCAGGGAAGCTGAGCTGGAGTTTTGTTGTTGTTTTTTATATTTCTTTTAGTTCTTAATGTTGAAATTAAGACTAGTTTTGAGGCACTCTTAGGTTTCCAGAAGAATGGAGCGGAGGGCAGAGGTCCCATAGGCCCCTTCCCTCCCACAGTTTCCCCTGTGAGCATCTGCGACAGTGTGTGTGCACTGGAGGCCATCGTTGCAGGAGGGCTTACGCCGGTGCTTACTGTGTGTTCTGTGGGTTTGAACAAACGTCTAACATCACGCATACAGAGGAGTTCACGGCCCTGCAGATTCTCTCAGCCACACCTGCTCATGCCTCCCTTTCCCTGCACCACATGGAAACCACTGATGCTCCTACTGTCTCCACCATTTGCTTTTCCATATTCATTCCATATCCATGTTCATCATTCTATATCCAAAGTCATCTATTTGGAACCACACAGTACTACACGTACAAACCTACGAGTTTGCAGCCTCTAAAGGGGGAGGCCAGAGACGATGGCTGGAGCCTTTTTGTTGGGCTTCTGACACTTAGTTATGCATTTGAGGTTCCTCCATGCCTTTCCATGATTCCATAGCTTCTTTCCTTTTAGCACTGATTAATATTCCACTGTCTGGATGTACCACAGTTTATCCATTCATCTACTGAAGCAGAGCTTGGTTGCTTCCAAGTTTTTTTTCCCCCCTCAGGCTGGAGTGCAGTGGCGTGATCTCGGCTCACTGCAACTTCCACCTCCCAGCCTCAAGCGATTCTCCTGCCTCAGCCTCCCGAGTAGTGAGACTACAGGGATGCACCACCACGCCTGGCTAATTTTTGTATTTTTAATAAAGATGGGGCTTCACCATGTTGGCCAGGCTGGTCTCCAACTCCTGACCTCAGGCGATCCGTCTGCCTCGGCCCTCCAAAGTGGTGGGTTTACAGGCCTGAGCCACTGTGCCTGGCCTGCTTCCAAGTTTTGGCAAGGCTTTTTTGTGGACATGAGTTTTCAAACTCATTGGGTAAATACCAAGGAGTCCAAATACTGGATCTTTGTTCAGTTTCACGAACTGCCCCCCTCCTCTCACTTTTCTTTAAGTAGCTGCGGTGAGTTATTCTGTTAACTTGATTTTGGTGGAAATAAAAAGGCAAGAGGATATCTTCTGTTTCCCTCTTCTTCCTCTTTAAAGAAGGCCCTAGGGGAAGTACCTCCAGCTTGTAGTATCTCCCATCACTCCTGCTCATCCCCAAGTCCAACACCCTTTACAGTTGAGAGAGTGATCTTGATTTTGTTTTTTAAAGTCCTTCTGTTAGTTTTTTCTGATTTGATGGATAGGCCCAGATTCTGGGTCAAGCTTTCATGGGTTGTTTCAAGCCTTTGTAGAGTTCAAGTGATTCTCCTGCCTCAGCCTCCCAAGTAGCTGGGATTATAGGTGCCCTCCACCATACCTGGCTAATTTTTTGTATTTTTAGTAGAGATGGGTTTCACCTTGTTGGGCAGACTTGTCTCGAACTCCTGACCTCAGTTGATCTGCCCATCTTGGCCTCCCAAAGTGCTGGGATTATAGGCATGAGCCAACACACCTGGCTGAACTGAGACTTTAATAAAATCAAGAAAAATGAATTTTCAGAGCAATGAAATGAAAAAAGACAAAATACTAATCCCATTTAAAAGGTTATTAGATTCAGGCTGGGCGTAGTGGCTCATGCCTGTAATCCCAGCACTTTGGGAGTCCGAGGTGGGCAGATCGTTTGAGGTCAGAAATTTAAGACCAGTCCGGCAAACATGGTGAAACCCTGTCTTTATAAAAAAAATATATAAAAATTTGCTGGGCATGGTGGCGTGCCTGCAGTCCCAGCTACTCAGGAGGCTGAGGTGGGAGAATCGCTTGAGTCCCTAAGGCAGAAGTTGCAGTAAGCCAAGATCGTGCCACTGCACTCCAGTCTGGGTGACAGAGAGAGACCCTGTCTCAAAAAAAAAAAAATTATTAGATTCAACGTATATAAAATTGCTTTTTGAAATTGCTGTAAACATTTTAACTTCTGTACTTAATCACTGACAGGCAATGGTTGGTCAATGAGTCGTACTAGCTTTGATGACATTCTTCTGAAAGAGATTTCACAGATGTAATTAAGGTTACAGATCATAGGATAGGAAGATTAGCTAGATTGTCTGAGTGGGCCCAGACTACTCACATGAACCCTTAAAAGCAGAGAACTTTCTCAGGCTGGAGTCAGACACATTTGAAACAAGAGAGATTTGAAATGTCATTGCTCAGAGGGGCCACATGGAAAGCATGAGAATGGAATGTGGGTAGCTAGGAGCAAAGACTGGATCCCGCCTGACAGCCGGTAAGGAAATGGGTACCTCAGTCCTACAATTTCAAGGGACTGATCCTACAATTGCAAGGGCCTGGTTTTGGCCAACAACCCTGATGAACTGCCAGTAGGGAATGCAACTCTGCCAACACCTTGATTTAGCCTTAAGAAACCTTAAGCAGGGGACCCGGTTGAGTTCACCTGGACTTAGAATACATTTGTACTGTTTGAAACTGCTATGTTTTGTTTGTGTGATCTGTTGGGGCAGTACTGCATTAGGGTACAAATTCGGTGGCAGAGCTGGGTTTGGATTGGGGTGAGGCGACCGGTGAAGCCGGCACAGTTCCTGGCACATAGTGGATACTTGGATACTTGTTGAATGATGTTTTCCAGTAAAGAAGAGTGTTGAGTGCGGCTTTGGCATCAGTGAGACAACATTTGACGTAGGGGAGGCACAGCTTTTATAAGCATAGGGCATTGCACAGTAAAATGTATTTGTTAGAGATGGTCACTCAGTGCTAAGATTAGTGTACACCAAGTCACTGCAGTTTGCTCTGGGAGAGTGTTATTAAATCAGCATAAATCAGCAGAACATGGACAAGTTTTTGTTTTTCAAAGAAAAAAGAGGCTTAATGAATAGTGCCCACCAGCATTAAAAAAAGAAATAGAAAATGCCAGACTGTATCATAGGTAGTTCAGACAAGAATTGCCTGAGACAGTGTGGGTACCTGTGGGTCCCAGCATGAATCTTTCTCCCTGGTGAAAATGTTGCCTGAGTGCCTGTAGGGAATGGTTTATAAATTTTGTTTCCAGTGATTTTTATGGATTTTCCTATGTCTCCTTTTTCACATGGTATTGTATTTTACTCTTTGATACTGCTTATCCTTTCTGTTGTCCTTATATTCTCATGTCTTCACCTTAGCATATGAAAAAGAAAACCTCAGTGGTTGTATTATACCATATTAAGCATTCTCCAGGGTGTAGCGCCAGCTTTCCTGTGGATTGCAGCCCATGGCTGGGAGTCTTGCTTCACTCCCAGCTTCTTTCTGCCTGTGTTTCTTTGTGCTTTCTGCCGTGGACTTTCCTGTCTTCACAGCTCACATTAACTCCTGGCTCATGAGGGTCTTACTTATGTCTCACTTTTGTGTCTTTGATTGTACAACACCTTATTAAAATGTTCTTTGTCTTTGGGAAGCCTTCACTATAGGAAGCTTTCAGATTTCCAGTGTCCGGTGATTACTTTCATCCAGTTTCATATTTTATTTTTATTTTACTATTATTGTTTTTAAAAATATTATAAGAGGCTGGGTAGGGTGGCTTATGCCTGTAATCCCAGCACTTTGGGAGGCCGAGGTAGGCAGATCACCTGAGGTCAGAAGTTTGAGACCAGCCTGACCAACATGGAGAAACTCCATCCCCACCAAAAATACAAAATTAGCATGGTGGTATATGCCTGTAATCCTAGCTACTCAGGAGGCTGAGGCAGGGGAATTGCTTGAGCCTGGGAGGCAGAGGTTGCAGTAAGCCAAGGTCATACCACTGCACTCCAGCCTGGGCAACAGAGTCAGATTTCATCTTCCAAAAAAAAAAAAAAACGAAGGAAAAAATTATTTAAAAAAATAGAGAGACTGGGTTTTGCCATGTTGCCCAGGCTTGTCTCAAACTCCTCTTTCTTTCTTTATTTTTTATTTCTTAGGTTTGATATATCTATAAAAGGCCTTTTATTTATTTATTTATTTTTAATGGCATTTTAGGTTTTGGGGTACATGTGAAGAACATGTAAGATGGTTGCATAGGTACACATATGGCAGTGTGGTTTGCTGCCTTCTCCCCATCACCTATATCTGGCATTTCTCCCCATATTATCCCTCCCCAACTCCCCACCCCCCACTGTCCCTTTCCTATTTCCCCACACAGACCCCAGTGTGTGATACTCCCCTCCCTGTGTCCATGTGTTATTGTTCAACACAGAAAGCCTCGCTCTGTCACCCAGGCTGGAGTGCAGTGGTGCAATCTTGGCTCACTGCAACCTTCGCCTCCCAGGTTCAAGCGATTTTCCTGCCTCAGCCTTCCGAGTAGCTGGGACTACAGGTGCCTGTCACCATGACAAATTTTTTGTATTTTTAGTAGAGAGGGTTTCACCGTGTTTGCCAGGATGGTCTTGATCTCCTGACCTCATGATCCCCCTGCCTTGGCCTCCCAAAGTGCTGGCATTACAGGCATGAGCCATTATGCCTGGCCAATTATTTTTTTACAAACAGAGACCCACTCTTTTGCCCAGGCTGCAGTGCAGTGGCATGATCATGGCACACTACAGTCTTGAAATCCTGGCATCAAGTAATCCTTCTGCTTTGGCCTACCAAAGTGCTGGGATTACAGGCATGAGCCACTGTGCCCAGACTGTGTATAACTTTTTATGTGGGCATGTATTTTCATTTCTCTTGGGTATATACCTAGGAGTATAACTGCTGAGCGCCTGAGCGATTTCTTAAATGCTGGAAGCATGCAGGGCCTTGAAGCCATA